TATGATGAGGAGATATAAATATCAAGTATTTTAATTCTGAAATTTGTGTATGTCCCAACACCAACTTAGTGAATTACCAGTGTAGATTATAYGTTTTAAATTAAACAGTTTACTTGGGTTTGGAAACTGAGTTTGAAATAAAATTATTGATTTTTGTTTGTAAAGCTTAGTTTGCAAAAATCAAAAGAAAAAAACTTTCTTTTTTTTAGGAAACAAGCTGTGATGGAGGGGTTCATATAAATGATGTTATGGAGTTGGAGCGTGCAGAAGTGTTTGTGTGTTTCAGTGTGTACTAACGTGTCATAATCCTGGACCACCTGGCCCACGGACCACAGCGCAGACAGGTACTGGTTCAGCCCGTCAGGACTCATGTAGTGGAGAGAGTTGGGCGAGCGCGGGTCACCGTTTGAGCCGGTGAAGTCGATGCCAACCTAACGTGTACATGCWYTGTTAGTTCAGGCGTTCATTCAGCTGCATCTATGAAAGACAACTTGCATGTGAGCTGATGTGAACGTACAGTGAAGTTGATCTGGCAGCCCCCCATCACATAGTCCAGGAAGCTGTACTGAGTCTCCAACTGCACACAAACAAACACACAAATATCTGAAACAAATGTCTAGAGTTCAATGACTGAGAAAGAAATTCTTGACGCCTGAAGCATCAAACTTCGAAATGCAGGGAGTTTTTAGCTGATATTATTTAAGAGTAAATTCTATAGACAGCTGTACAGTGCTGCCATTAAAACAGACAACACACTGCTTTTAAAWCCAACAGTTTCCAAACTGTGAACTCTTTACCGTACAGCTCTTCACAGAAACAACCCCTGAGTTCTTGTAGGATTTCTTCTTCTGTTTATTAGGGTGGATGCATTCGAACTCCACCTGGATAAACACACAGCAAACAGCTCAACRACCTCCGACCAGCCGACAGAAAACCATTTATTTTACAAATCACAGATTTTCAGTCACTCACCGGTGAGCCGCTCCCAGCTTTCTGCAGCTCGGACACTTTCGTGGTGAAAGTGCCGATCAGRTCGTGAGTGCCGTCGCTGTCGTAATCAGAACAATCCACCTGCAGGAAGAGGAGATTTTTTAAATCGCCGACGAAGACCTGATTGGTTTGTTACGAGTGAAAAAGCTGGATGCTGATTGGTGGAAACCTTCAGGGGCTTTTCAAGGTCGCTGGAGCAGAACGTCTGCAGAGGAACGGTGAACTTCTTCCAGGTGGGGTTCAGATTGTTCTTCACCACCTGCAAACATACACGGCTTATTTAGTTTTAAACTGAGAGAGAAACGTTAAAATTAAACTTTTCACCAATTCAAAACAGCATAAAAACAAGTTACAACAGAAGTTTCTATGGAGGTCATTAATAAGTAAGAAAGTGTCTTCAATTTGGAACCATATTTTATATTAACATGGTTTGAAATGATGGAAACCGTGACAATAAAAAATAAAAAAAACTGTGTTTACTTCAGTTCTGTGGACCAGCTGCCACTTCCCGTCAGCTCCTTGTTTAAAAAACTCCAGGAATGGATCAGATTTCCCGAATGTATCCTGGACAAAAAGRAAAAGGAAGAACGATTAAATAAGTTATTAGGTTTTGAAATGAAACAAGCTCAACAGAAAATAACAACAACAAAAATAAATCATGCTGATTTGGTTGTAATGAGTTTTACAAGTCATTAACAAAACTGGAAATTAAGGTTAAAGTATTAAATATGTGCATTTAAAGTATGTTACCTTTTTATCAAGCTTTTTAGCTTCCAGCTCCAACACAATGGCTCTTTTGTCTTTTATCTCCTCTGCAGAGACCTTCAGAAAAAAAAACATCATCTTAACACTTGCACTGTTTTCTTTTTCATAGTAATACATGTACATATGTACAAATCCTACATACTGTGATGGTTCCTTTCCCTGCAGGCTTGTCTTTCTTCAGCTGGAGAGGTCTGGTAATAGTTTTACTGGAAACTATCTGAAATATTAAATAAAAAAGGAAACAACACCTTCAGTTGAGTTAATGACAGYAGAATATCTCAAACCTGCAATATGCTAAAATTAACTCCACCACATTTTTTATTTTCTAAGCATCCTATCAAAACATCCCTCAGAGCACATCTGGCCTGCAGGGGGAGGTAGAGCTCCACTAGAGATCTGAAGCAGCACTGCACAAAATCATTTTTGATGCACTGAATAAAAGAAGAAACGATCGCAATATTTTACAAAAAATGAAATTATATGTAATATGTGTAAAAAAATACAATTGTTTCTGTAATAATATGTAAATTAAAGATGAATATGAGTTTCATATGTGACCCATCACATCAAAATGAGGATCAAGTCTAAAAGCGGTACATGGATAAATAGGCAAATATACGGTTTTGATTAAAATGTTAACAAAAATTGCATTTTGTCAAAATATAATGATCAATTATCAATGTAACATTTGAATGAACTGTCTGAAATATAATCATAAAACAAAATTTTGAAGCACTATGTTGAGCAGTAGCAACTAAAAACCTGATTTTAAGGAAAAATGCCTTAAAATGTTGAGATTTTACCTCTGAGCTAGCAAAGTTTTGTTTTCAGATGGAAAATCTCAATATTCAAATAAAATTTGAGGTTTCCTCTTTATAAGGACATCAAAAATTCCCCATTAAAATGACATAAAATTAGGATTCAGACCAAATATTTATGTATTATTGTAACCAACAAGACAAATGTCATAAATATGGATTTAATTATGATGTCAGAATGATCCAGGTGTCAAAATGTAGCTTTTAAAGCAAAGAATCTGAAAATGTAATCAGGTCATTTTAACTAAATTTGACTTAATGCTCATTTCGATATGACTGGTCACATATTACCACACCAAAGTCTAGTTTAATACCTGCAGTTATAGACATTTTTACTGGTTAACCACCTGGACTTTTGTTTACTCCAAACCCTAACCAGTTGCAGATGTGCATTTAGGGATTTATCTAAGAAGTTAATTAAAACCCATCAACTAGTTTTGCTGACAAACACAGACAGTTAACTGCCTCTTCATGGTGATGTGTCTTAAAACCATACCTGTCCCAGCGTTAGCTCCACCCCTCCCAGGTAGTCATCATCCTTGAGGTCGGGGGACTTGTTATCGATGTCATAGACCCCCAGCTTCAGATTCTGGACCGTCTCAAATTTATAATCCAACCTGAGGCGCTGACTGAACGACGGGCTGGAGCAGTTCTTCACACGTTCAGTACGAGCCAGCTGACAGGGACAAGAAGAGACGTTGCTTTCRTTTGATTCTCACGCAGAACGAGATCTTTTAAAGAAAAATAAGCGATAACGGTGAGCTACCTCTGTCCATTTGTCTCCTCCTGAGCTCTGCAGCAGAACACAGAGAGGATCTGACTTTGATCCGACATCTTTGTCCAGCAGGTTGGCGCAGGAAACGGTCAGCTCCACCTTAGAGACACAGTCCGCCATCTGAAAGGAGCACAGCGAGATCACTCATCAGATCAGAGAGTCAAAATGGCATATGCAGTTTACGAGCCATCATTTCTGAAACCATACAGCTGAAGTTAAAACAGTATGATGAATATTTTACATGTGATAAACCTGATCACATGCATCTGGATTGCTCTCTTAAAACTGGCTAAATAAACTGCAACAATAATTTCTTAAAATAAAAAAGTCGTTATAACTAAACTTTGTTTCATAACCTCAGATGTCTCCATTTAAAGCAGCAGAATTACTCTCTTTGAATAATATGGACAATAAAAGAAACAGATAATGTTCAGCCTGAATGAACCAACTCAAAACAACTGACCCTTCCAACATCATTTAGCACTAAAATAATTCATTCACAGACACTCAGTTCATAAAACATTTTATGACTTTTTCTGAAGATCTGAAGCGGCAGCATTTTCCTTTCACTTCTTTCTTATCTTGCTCTTTACATCACATTTACATCAGTCAGTTCTTTGTCTTGATAGATTAGGTCAGTTAGGCTGTTTGCCTTTGCATGCAAAACCGGTCTTCTAACGTCATTATCACGTCATTCTTTCTACTTTTTCCAGAAAGCTGCTAAAGCCGATGGCGTCTCTGATTGTGGAGCTAAATTAATTCAAGTTTTTTTTCAATCAATGAAGTGAATTAGATTGAAGCTGTACGAAGCAGTTCACTCGTTTCCAAGAAAACACACCCATTCATACACAAAGCAGTTATGTCACCACAAACTTTTTGAACCGTGGGAGAACAAACACCAAAAAACGCAGGATATCAACCATAGAAATGAATATGTAGAAGCCTCATTGACATATACATACACACACACATATACACACACACACACACACACACACACACACACACACACACACACACACACACACA